CATTCAACAGCAGACACCCATTCCTGTCGGCTAGGATGAGCTTGAAATCGCGTACGGAGCGTAGAGTCGACTATAATTCGTGTAGATTGCATAGTTCCAATCGAAAATCCAGTTTCATCCATATTGTAGGTGTTGTAGTTTTCGATTTTTAGCTCTGTTATAAGGCTTTTATACGCGTCAAACCACCCCTTCAACACCTGCTTTGTTACCCCATTCATCCTTTGTGCCTCAACTCTACGTCCTAACTTAACACGTAAGTTAGGATGCCTTTGAATGAATCGTGGCACCCACTCTTGCCCAAGAGGTAACTTAGGTATTTGAGGTTGTTGAGTTTGAGGTTGTTGAGTTTGAGGTTGTTGTTGTTGTTGTTGTTGTTGAGGCTGAAAAACGCGACACTTATTTGACCGGACTTCATCTGCAACCTCCTGTAATATCCGATGGCTAGGAGCGTAGCCGCTTGCAGTAAGCTCTTTAATCCACTTTAGAAGTGTTTGCTCTTGATTTTTTGTAAGGAGTTGCTGTTGTTGTCGCGCTTCCTTACACGTCTGCCCTCCATTTAAGCGTGTCTGTACTGTATATGTCCGAAGCCCTAAAGCCTTTGCAGCAGCATAGGAAGATTTATATAATCCGGATTTTATTCCAATGACTGCCTCAGCTAATAGATTATTGCGTTCTTGAGCCTTTAAACTGCTCTTGCGTACCATATTTATAATATAATTAATGGGTTGGTGAGTTTAATGGGGTAGTTCCAACCCCACTATGCCGGTTACGCCATTGTGCCGGTTACGCCATGACTTACGTTACTTAACGAAAATAGCATACACTCTAGCAAATTTAGCTATAATAAATAGGGATATAAAGAGTAATAGTCTAAGAGGATTAAGCGTTATAAGCATTATTACAAAAGTTATTAACGTTTTAATTTTGATCGTGTGACCTTGGTTTTGGTGGGGTGCGGGTGGCTCTAACAAAGCGTCCCGTTACGCCATCCGTCCCGTTACGCCACGACTTACGTTGGGGTCCGCTAGGCTATTCTTCTTGAAATTAATAGTCATGAAGGTGACTGCTTTGCACTATTTCCGGAATATATACAGAGAATGAAGACCTCTAATCCAAATAATTAAGTCCTACTCCAAATAGTAGATGAAGAAGATAACAATAACAACATACGTAATAACTTAAGACGATTTAAGGCAATTGCTTTTGCACTAACGTAAGTCGTGGCCTAATGGCACCAATGGCCTACTGGCACTAGTGGGGTTAGGCCGACCCCATCAAAGCTTCAAAAAATTGCAATAATTCAATTACTACCACCCTAATTCATCTATATCATCATCAGAAGGCTCTTCTTCGCTCTCTTCATCCATTTCCTCAATTATAGCTTCGTTTATAGGTCGTAGCGTTGTTCTAGGCCTCTGTGAAGCTATGGCTGTTGCTG